CAAAACTGTTTGAGATCACCCAAAAAAGTCTGTACCAGAACCAACTTGACAACATGGCCTGGGTGAGAGTCTGGACAGTCTCTGAGAAGGAGGGTGGGGGAGGGTGCCTATGGGTGAACTCTTCTGCTCTCTCGCTGGCCCATTGGTACCATGCTGAGGCCACACGAATTCAAGGGCCCTGTCTTCCCAAAGAGTTACAGTGTGGAATGAGTCACAGTATAAGCCTCATAGGTACGGGACAGCTTAGGTAAAGCAGCACACTGGGAAGAAAGCTGACTGAACATTCAACAAGACGGACTGAACATGATTTAAAGGGACTGAGTAAATTCTTACATTAGTCCAAATAGAACCATGTTGAACATTTAATTAATTCTACATAGCCCAGTGATGAAGAATATTGGAGGGGCGTGGTTTCTTTGGACACCTGAGTGGCAGTGTGATTTAAATTTGTGATTTGCTGTAATAGGTACCATCCAGTACTACATAAAATTTTAAAACAGGTTTTGAGTACATGAAGCTTCAAATGTCAAACATAGAGACTGCTAGGAGAAAAGAGCACACAGAAAGTAGGCGAGTTCAAACCAGAGACTTCAGTGGGAGAACCAAGCACATGCAGTCAGCACAGCTTTGCCCAGGGCAGGGTGGCACGAAGAAATGGATCCTGCTGCAGTGGGCTTTGTCACATCAGCTCCTGAGGAAGCATTATGGTTGAAGGAAGCAGTTAGTGGCACCACTTCATCTTATTCTCCAACCATTTCTTAGGTGTTTTTCAGGAGTATAAAGAAAGATCTATTCATAATCAGTTGTTAGGAATATTTTCAGCTTTACTGTAAATTGTGAAGTGAGATCAGGTAAGTTTTAGGTAAAAACCTGACAATAGATAAGTAGAAGAGATACGGAAAACACATCAAACAAATACGCTGTCATTAAAATAAGGCTACATTAAGCAGGACAAAATAGTCGGCTTGATGGGAACCCCAGCATCTTCCAGACTGACAACATAATATTTCTGTGTGAATGCTGTGGAGGGGGAGAGGAAAAGAACGCATTCTTGGCAAAGTTCTGGAGTTGGGCAGAAGAGGGCTTGTGTATCTGGATTCTCTACCCTTCAGCAGGAAATGTGGGTGAACTAGAAAGGAGATGTAGTCCCAGGAATCTGTGTCGGGCTTGAATGTTGCAATAGTTACTGCCACACCCTGTTCCACTGTTTGGGAATCTGCAGGAGGGAATGTGGAATGTGGAGTCTCCAAGCAGCAGAAGTAACATCTACATGGGTTGGTTTGTATATCTCTTAGCTGATTCATAAACATCAACCTGGTGCCTTTTTGCCTTCACAACCTCCTGTGTTTCATGTTTTCTAGTTTGTGTAAATACAGTGAAATTATTTTTGTAACACTGGGAGTAGCTTTCCCTAAAGTGTTCATTTATAAAGCACCCATCGGTTGATTGCTGTTCTGGGTACCAAGGGTACTGAGATCAAAGACCTCCTCTTCGACCTCAAGGCTTCTCTGGGCTGATGCTCCCTTTTTGCTTGTTCTTTTATGTGAAGGTAAATCCACATCCAGTGCTTCAAAGCACAGTTAACACCAGGCTGTAACATGTAGCTAGACTTTGGTGCAGGCTGTGGGATAGTAAAATGAAATTGCAGTGCAATAAAGGAAAACTTGAAACTGACTACTAAATGAAACTTATCCTTAATATCACACGCTGTCACCTTCCACATTTTCTTATCCCCTAACTTCTTACTATGTTTTAGGAACAGCCTAAAATCCCATTAAATCTCTTTAATAGGATGGATCGTGGCCATGTCTGTCACTAGGCCCCAAGTCCTCCAGGGTCCAGTGAGCAAAGAACCCTGCCTCCTCATTACCCCAGCCTAATGCTAGCCTTCCCAGAAGTGTAATCTTCAGAGACACCCACATGGATGACAGCTTTTGAAATTAAGTAGCACAGTTTCGTTGCGCATTGCCTTGGTGCTCTTCATTGCTGAACTGCATCTCGCCTTTTCCTTTCTGCAAATACACATTTCATTTTTCTATTTTGGCTCTTTGAAAACTATCAGCTATAGTAAGGTTGAATACACAGACACTAAGATTCATCCTTTTAAGTATACAGCTCAATGAGTTACAAGCACGTAGTTATACCACCGTAATCAACATACAGAACCATTCACTCACCAAGAAAGTCTCCATGTCTTTTTGTAGCAACCCTTCCCTGTACCGCCAGTCCCAGAGAAACACTGATTTGCATTCTTTGTCTAGAGTGTGGTATACTCGAGAATGTCATATGAATGGAATCATTCAGCATGCAGCCTTTTATATCTGACTTCTCTCACTTGGCATCCATGTTGAGGATATCTGAACTGCCTCCCTTGGCCAGGCAAGGTGGCACATGCCTGTAATTCCAGCACTTAGGAGGCTGCTGCAGGAGGATCGCCAAGAATTCGAGGCCAGCCTGGGCTACACAGTGAATTCAAGATCAGCCTGAACTACATAGCAAAACCCTGTCTCAAAAAAAAAAAAAAACCACAACAAAAAAAAGTATCCCTCTCTATTGCTAAGTAATTTTCTGCTTATGATTGTATTATAGTCGATTTATTCATTCATCCGTAGAAGAATACTTGTTTGCAGTTTTTGATGGTTATGAATAAAACCACTATAATGGTTACATACAGATCTTTCTATGAACATAAGCTTTCATGTCTCAGATGGTATCTAGAAGCGGGACTGATGAATTGTGTGATAAGCACATACCTAACATTTTATGAAACAGCACTTTTTCTAAAGTGGCTGTGCCACTTTCCACTCCCACAAATAATATGCGATAATTCTTAACAGCACTTTATCATCACCAGCACTTGGTGTCGCCAAATTGCATGTGTTTTCGTAATATTCCTTCTACTACATGCGTACAGTGATCTCAGTGTGGTTTAAATTTCCATTTTCCTAGCAAGTCATGATGTTGAGCTTATTTTCATGTGCATAATTGCCATGAAATTCCTGAAGTTCCTTCAGGGGAAATACCTATTCAGCACATTCACATACATTCTTTCAGCTTGTCCGTTTTATGAGTGAGTTTTGAGGATTCTTTATCTATTCTATATTGACTCCTTCATGAGATATGTGCTCTGCAAAGATTTTCTTGAATTCTATAGCTTCTTAGATAACATCTTTTTTTTTTTTTTTTACTGTTGTGGTGCCTGGCACCATTTTTTTATTAGCTTCTTAATCATCATCTTAAAAGAAAACATTCTAAAGTAACAGTAAAAATAGCTCTGATAAAGCACAGTCAGTTCTACATATCATAAAGCAGGTACAAGATATTTTACGTTCTCAGAGGTATGATACAGCAGTCCTACATCTATAATTGGCATCTATAATTAGGCATTATTTCAGACTTAATTCTACTTTTCCAGCACATTAACGGCACAGTTTACTCATTCTCTTCATGAACATCAGCTGTAAACCTTTTTTTAAAAACCTGGAGTAAAAAACAAGAAACAGGAAAAAAAAAGGATTCATACAAAGGTGACTGAGTGGAGGCAAGCAATATTAACCTAACTTGTATTTTATCAAATCTGTCATGTTTGAAAGGTAATAGCTCCACTGAAGAAAGGAGATGCCAAATAGTAGTGCTTAAAGGCTTCGGACCACAAGCAAAACACTGCAGCATTTCAAAGAGAAGCAGTAGGCAAACATCACTCATTTGGGCACGTTCAAGGATGCTAACATCAATATTTAGATTTAGGCTGCTATAACAAAATACTATAAATTTTGTGGCTTAAACAACAGGCTGGTAAATCCAAAATCAATGTGCCAAAAGATTTGGTTCCCAGTAAAGGCTTTCTCCCTATCTCACAGCCTTTCCCACTGTGTCCTCATGGGTGGGATGAGGATCTTTTCATTAGGGGCACTAATCCTGATAAGAGGACCCAAGACTCACGACCACATCTAAGCCTGAATTTGGTAGGGTCACAACTCAATCCACAGCAGTTTCTCTCAGTATCAATTTTTAATTTTGATGATTCCAACTTATTAACTTCTATAGATTATGCTTTTGGTGTCATATCTAAGAAATCTGCCTAACCATAACCCAAGTCAAAAAGACTTTTCTCTAGAAATTTTATACCGTTAGATGTTTTTATTCAGAACCACTATTTTGAGTTAATTTTCGAAATAGGTAGACCTGGACTGGGGATATAGCACAGTGGCATAAGCGCCTGCCTAGCAAGTGCATGGTCCTGAGTTTGATTCCCCACACTAGAAAAAAAAAAAAAATCAAATAGATAGACCCTTTCTTTGGTGTGAATCCTCTAAAATTTTTTCTTTTAAAAGATTATTTTGATTATTGTAGTCCTTTGTATTTCCACTTAAATTTTTGACTGGGCCCATCAATTTCTACTGGGAAAAAAAGCCCGATATTTTTGAGATTGCATTGAATTTATGTAAATCAATTGATTTATGTAAATCAATTTATGTAAATCAAATGGGGAATTACCATCTCAGCAATATTGAGTCTTCTGATCCACAATCATTAGTATTAATTTACTTAAAATTTTCTTTGAGAACACATCTTTTGCTAAATTTATCCCTATTGTGTATTTTCCATGCCATTAAGTAGGGCATTGGTTTTAAAATCCAATTTCCAATTGTTCGTTATTAGAATATATAACTGACTTTACATAGTAATCTTGAAACCTATGACATTAGTAAATTCACCTAATTGGTCTAGTAATTTTTTAGTGGATTTCTAATAAGCATATACTTAGGAATATATAGGCAAATATCAAAATTAATAGTTCAAAGAGAGAAAACTGTCTCTGGCAGCAGGACTAGAGGGTAGAATTTTTATTGCAGCTTTCAATTATTTGGATTAATTATGTACACATTACTTTAGAAGAAATAAACATTAAATTTTTGAACAGTAAGTCCTCCCCTCCAAGATTGTTCATTTGTGGATCTTAATTCATTTTGGCTACAGGTGTTGGCTTTAGCTGGGATTTTCCCTTTCGTGTTTCATTTTTATTTGCGTTACAGCGTGCAAATATTTGCAACAGTGTGTTTGCTCCTCAAATATGTAACTTGTCTTAGCAGTTTACTGATCAGTTCTTATTTACCCTCCAAAGTTGTCAGTGATCTTAAATCGCACTTTTACACTGGATGTTTCCACACGATCTGCCCTTGCCCTAGTACCTCACTGATTTGAGCCACAGCGAGAATGAGTTCGCCCCCGCGTAGAGCACTACAGGCAAAAACGTGCACAGAGGTTTAGAAAAGCAAGTGCCTGGAGCGCGATGCGGGCGGACCCCGGAGGGGGCAGCTGAGTGCTGACTATGCACAGTAAGTGCTCCTGGTCCATACGCAATTCTAGGCACGCTGTCCTTCGGAAAGGCCAAGGACGCGCCACCACCCGAAACCCACGGTGGAGACTGCCTGCGCGCGCTCGCTGGGGGCTGAGGACGCCCGGGGGGGTACGGCGGGGACGGCTGGGCGACGTCACTTCCGGCCGCGGCGGACCGGTTCGCGCTACGACCGCCCGGCTCGCGCTATGACCACCAGCTCCGAGCCGCGGGGACAACGGCCCGGGGTCGGGGTCGGCGTGGTGGTGACCAGCTGCAGGCATCCCCGTTGCGTCCTGCTGGGGAAGCGGAAAGGGTCGTTTGGGGCCGGCAGCTTCCAACTTCCTGGAGGTCACCTAGAGTTCGGGTGAGCATCTCCACACTACCCGGGAAACCGAATGCGCCCGAGAGGGAGGTGCGCTGTGCGTGCGTGCGCGTGTCCGTCTGCGCCGTGCGTATGCGCGCGCGCCCGGCCGCGCTGGCGCCGCGCAGCGCCCGCTTGCCTCCGCGCAGGCTCCGGCCGGGAGGGGGCGCTGTGCGAGGCCGGCAGACTCCTTGCGACCTGCTTGGGTCGTGCGCTTCGCACCTGGGAGTCGCCTTGTCTTGTCCTAGTGCCCACGACCGAGAGAAGGCCGCTGGGTGCTTCTAAACCAAGAGCGGGCCCGCGTTGTCAGGTTTATCCAGCTGTCCGTCCGTCTCCCCGCCTCCGCGCTGCACTTCAGCCCGGCGGACGAGCGGGCAGCCCTGGGCCTCGGCGTCTTCCTCGGCGGAGCCGTGGGGTGAAAGCTGCGAGGGTCGCGAGGATCTGCCGGTGCACAAGAGCGGAGAAAGCCGAGATTTTGCCAAAAAGTGGGTTCTGAAGTGAGAGTGAGGTTAAGATTAATAACAGATAAAAGCGTAAAGCGTCCGCGCCAGCGCGTGCTTTGTCCTTCAGGGCTCCATCCAAACGCTTCAAAGGTGCAGAGAAATGGAGAAAACTGCGTCCGCGCCCTGCGCTCAGAGGGGCTCTTTCCTGCTCCTGCTCGGGCCTCGCGCGGAGCACACGCGCACGCCTGGCTTTCCACGCCGTGGGAAGGGAGATGTGGGACATCCTGTTACAGGGACCTTAAATGCTCACGTGTGCACCGCTAACAGACTTTAAAAACACGGTGCTGTTTTCCTACATAACAGTTCTGTCGTCTTCCCTGTTAGCCAGACTATTTAAAAGGCCTTTTTGCTGTTTTGTACCACTGGGGTCAAAGGTGGAGCGTACCTTCATTGCCTCTCCATGTAACAGTACTCCTTCGTCCCTTTTTCTCATGCCATTTATTTGTTGAAGAATGTGGGTCATTTATCCGGAAGAATTTATCCCGTGATTACTGTGCTCCAGTCCCCCTGTATTTCTTATACGATGGTAGTCAGGCTTGATCCCAGTGCCTTTCAGTCAGACTTTGTCCTTGAAATGTGTAACTCATAGGCTCTTTTCATGTGGAATTTTTGTATGGTCTTCAGAATTTATAAAAGCATCAATAAGTGTATTATTTTCGGATGAGATAAACCACTAGTTAATAAATTTTTAAAAATTTTTTTATACTAAGAAAAAATCAGATTGCTGCTGAGCACAGTGCCACACATCTGTAACCCCAGCTGCTTGGGAGGCTAGGACAGGAAGGACCACAGCTGGACAACCCTGTTTGAAAACAAAAAAATCAAAAGGGCTAGGGGTGTACTCAGTTGTAGAGCACAGTTAGGTTGTCAGTCCACAATAACACACATGCACACACACACAGCCGTGTATATTGTACTATTGCTCGTGACAGTCAGCCAAACTTAGATCACAACCCAAGCACTACCTGTAATTACTAGAGCGATGGCTAGAAATAGGACAAGAAAGTGCTGACCCGGTTTTCGAAGGATCATAGCCAGCACTGAACTTTAATGCAGTTTTTGCGCAGTGCTGAAAACACACGATGCTCCTCACAGGTTCCCTTTCGCTTGACCTTTCCGTAACTGTACAGCGCGCTAAATGTGATAGGAAAACAAACAGAACATGCTTTTTCCTTCCATTGTCTTCAGACATGAGTCATCCTTTCCCCTCTCTTTCCCTCAAAGGTATTTTCTATATATTGCTTATTTTATAAAAATAAATTGTATTTTGGTCTTCACAATTCACCTCCATGCATTTAAAAGTCCAGCCCAGTTTAAACCGTCAGTCCCCCGGTTTCTGATCTCTGTAATGTGGAAAGGAGGTAGAGGCATTGTTTTGCTTCTTGCCCACCTCCTGCCCCTCCTCACTTAGCCGTTACTGACACTTCTCCCTTCTCCAGTGAGTTGGGAAGAGGAGACAAGCTGTTTGTGAGACCAAGAGCTGCTGTCCATTCACTGGTGTCCTCTGTGTATCCACTGTCCGAGTGGGTGCTGTCTTTCATGGAGTCCATTTGTCAGTTAGTTGGAAGTCCCGTCAAGATTTCTGTCCCTGTTGTGGCTGTCTGACTTTTTGTGGTCCCCTGCCCTAGTTCTTGTTCCAGCATGCGACTGTACATTTTCTTCCTGTTGAGATCCGGCAGTCTCCTGTAGCATCTACTTAGCCCAAAGGAAACACGCAGTAGAAGGGGGTTGAATACAGGGCTTTCGCACTGAGCTACATCCCAGCCTTTTTTAATTGTTTTAGATTTTGAGACACAGTCCCGCTAAGTTGCTGAATTGCCGGGGTTGGACCCAAACTTGTAATCGCCTACCTGAGCCTCTCAGCGTGCGCCACCCTGCCGGGTTAGAAATGATGCTTTTCGGGCTGGGGATTTAGCTCAGCGACAAAGCGCCTGCCTGGCAAGCGCAAGGTCGTGAGTTCGGTTCCTGGTACCGGAGAAAAACTAAAAAAAAAAAAAAAAAAAAAAAGAAATGATGCTTTTCCACTGCTGCCCTTTTTGCTTTCTCAGCTCTTATGGGCTACTCTCACCTGTCTCCTACCTTTTAAATTCCCAAGGTGGGAATAAGCACCAGCCTCTGTATTCATGTGCAAACACACTGCTAGGGACGTATTTCAGATTTATGCGAGAGTTCTTGCTGCGTGTCTCCACTGCTGTGGTGCACTGTGGTAGGCCTGAGAGTTCCTGCGGCTCCTTGTGTCTCGGGTAGGGCCAACACACCAGTGTCTCCTTCTGGGACACATCCAGGCTCTACTGATTCTCTTGGAGGGAATCTCTCACGTGGCTTAAGGGAGCAGAACTGGCTCCTCACAGGGAGGAAAGGAAACATTTCTACTGAACTGGAAACTCACAACTTTCCTCCCTCTCTAAGATCTCCTGTCTTTTTTAGATAGCCTGGGCAAGATGAGGATCAAATGTCTTCCTGGTCTTCTTTAGCAAATCTTGGAGCTCAGCTGGCATCTGTTTGCTCTTTTGCCCTAAACTTGAGAGTTTAGAGGGGCTTATGCCTCATTCTTCTCAATTTTGAGGCTTAAACCAAAATTCTGAGACTACTGGAAAAGACATAGTAATTTTGATATATTTACAGCAACTCCATTAGAAAGTAGTATTTCACTTTACTTGTCGAAGATAGAAAGTAATAGACTTCAAACTCCGGCCTAGGCCTACTTGGCTGCAAAACCTGTGTTCTTAGTTAATGTGCTAAGCTGCTCCCTCATTGCTCAAGCTTGTGAATTAGTGCTAAATTGGCTAAAGGGTATTTTTTTGCTCAATATGTAGTTCCTTTGGGAACTAGATATAGGATAGATACAGGATATACAGAATGTCAAAGGTAGGGTTGTTAATTTATTGTTTTAAAGTATACACTAATTTTAGCTGTTTTTGCTTTGCATTATAAATTTATAAGCAAGACTTTCATAGCAAAAAATTGTATTAATAGAATTGAAAACAACGATATGTTTCCATTTTCCAGTGAGACCTGGGAAGAATGTGCTCAAAGGGAAACCTGGGAAGAAGCAGCTCTTCACCTGAAAAATGTCCGCTTTGCCTCAGTGGTAAATTCTTTCGTTGAGAAAGAGAATTATCATTATGTCACTATATTAATGAAAGGAGAAGTAGATTTGACTCATGATTCAGAGCCAAAGAATGTTGAGCCTGAAAAAAATGAAAGTAAGAGAACTTTATATAATAATGCTTTTTTGTTACTATGGTGTCAGAAGCAGCATTACATATGTTACCACATGAAAAGAACTAGATTCTCTTCATATTTATGTGCTCCCCAAATTTATACATTGAAGTCCTAACCCCCAAGGTGATGGTAACAAGAGATGGGGCCAGTGGGATGCAATCACATCATGAGGCCTTTGTCCTCAAGAATAGGATTAGTTTCCTTACAAAAGAGACTCCAGAGAGACCTTCACCCCTTCCTCCATATCCAGGGAAGAGAGAAAATGGCTGCCTATGAAACAGGAAATGGGCTAGGAGCAGATACTGATTTGGCCTGTGTCTTGGTCCTGGATTTTCAGCCTCCAGAACTCAGAAAATTTTTTGTTGTCTGTAAGCCACCGAAGTGTAAGGTTTTATGCCCGAAATCCGCACAAAGACTGATATAGATATGTAAATATCTTCAAATCCTGAGGAACTTGAAAAACCAGACTACTTAGCTTTGTGTCCTGGTCATTCCATTTTGTACGTTGTGGCCTGGGGCAAGTTTTTTAACATCCGGGCCTCTTTTCTCACCTGTAATCATAGTAACCACCTCAGATGGGTTCTGGGAAGGATTAAATGAGTTCATACATATGTATAAGAACCTAGTAAATACAGTAAATGCTTGGTAAATCTTCATTTTGTTAGTGTTTATTTTTTTAAGGTTTTGACTTTAAGAAAAACATTTCATATATTTTTCTCAGTTTTCTCACCCGTAAGGGAGAAAGAAAGCCTCCATTTTATGGAGAATGAGCATGCTGACAAAACAGTTGTCTGTTACCTCCATGTTGAAATAACTACTCTGAATGACAATAATATTGTTTGAAGGCTTTACAAGTTATTCTTTTTCCTCAGATTCTCATAAAATTGAGAAAAGGAAATAAAGTGAAACTATCAAAATTTTTGAATATGTATATTCTTTGCCATGTGCCACTCTATCCAAGTGGTCTCATGAGCTGGTCCTCTGCCCCTAAACATTGCCTTTTTCTCCAGTGTGGAAGAATTTTGTCAATCAACAATACTTGTTCAGTACTTTAAGACCTAATCAGTCTGTCCAGGCCCCACCTCTTAATTTCCACCTCAGCGCTCAGGGGACCAAGCCTCTGGCAAGTGAGCCTTTGGAGACACACTCTGGTCACACCGGACTGAGCAGTTGGTCTTCCTTTGTGTAGTGACAGGCTCCGTGCCGTGTTCCTCAGGGCCGAGACCTGGAGAGCCTGCTTCCATTTACTGTTCACTGCACCTGTCCTCCTGGTTTCTGACTGTGACTAAGGGGATCGTCCAGACATCTCATTTTTAGGAGACAGGGATACCCTTCCACAGACCACTCTCGGGGCACTTGGTTAAGTCAGCCTCTTGCAGTACATTGTTAGCATCTGCCTGCCTCCTCCCTTTTCTCCCACTCCTCCTCCTCCTCCTCTCTTCCTCCACTGCCTCATTTGTGTATCATCACAGTTACGGATCAGCCTTTCCTGTACTTACTCAATTTCTTGTCTTCCCTTTTTCCCTTGTTTTCTCAGAGTGAAAATATGTACCTGTATTTTATAGGCAGAGAATACTTAGTGAGAGAAGTGGTACTTATACTAAGGTAAAATATGTAATCCTAAAGAAACTTTTTTAAACCAGGTGCGGTGGTGCACACCTGTAATCCCAGCACTTGGGAGGCTGAGGCAGTAAGATCATTGCAAGTTCAAGGCCAGTCTGAACTACATAGCAAGACCCTGTCTCAAAAAAACAAAACAAAAAAAAAGAAGAAAGACAAGAAACTCATTTAGAACATAGAATATATGACTTAATATAATTACATATAATAATGATATATTCACCAATCGTGAGCATCTGTGCTTTCGGCACTTTATTTTGCAGTGCTCAAACCTAGCACCTTGTACATGCTAGCCAAGCGCTCTAGCACTAGCTGTACCCTCAGCCCTAGCATCTGTGCTTCTATGTTATCTGCACTTAAATTATCAAATAAAACAAAAGTTTTTCTTGGATTTCATGTATATTTACAATAGATATGCATCATTAAATCTTTCTTGCTTCAATAGATTTTGTTTAATGAGCTCCTTCTTTGTCTTCTATCTAAAATATACCAAGGCACACCTTCCAGGTGTCCCATACCTGTAATCCGTATACTCTGGGAAGCTGAGGCACGAGGATTGCAAGTTTAAGCCCAGCCTAAGTCATGTAGTAAGGTAGCAAGACCCTGTCTCAAAAATACAAAATAAAAAAAGTTCTGGGGATATACTTCAGTACAAAGGACCTGTATTCAGTCTCCAATACCACAAAAATCTAATCCAACCAATATGGCATAGTACAGTACCATAAAATAAATCAAGTCATAATATTTGTTTCTCTGTTTAGCTTCCATTTTTTAAGATATGGAGGATACCTTGGAAATTTTGTAATCTATTTTATAGGTAAAGAAACTAGTTTATTTTTATGAAATACAGCCTATAGTATGCAAAGTTCTTTGCATTTTTAGACAAATATTTAAATAATTATTTAAATGAACATTGAATAATACCAAATTTCCTATCCAAATAACACAGTGTTTTATATCATCACTATTCTTTCCTTAAAATCTTCATTCTAAATTCAAATTATATTTGTATAACTAAGTTCTTGCAAAGCATCACTGTTGGAGTTTATTAGTAACAAATCACTTAAACTTAGTTACTTTTTTCTAAGTATAGGTGAGCTTATCAAAATAAATACCCCTGTTTTTTGCCAGCTAAACGTATGGATTTGGCCTCTTTCTTTTCTAGGCTGGGAGTGGGTCCCATGGGAAGAATTCCCTCCACTAGACCAGCTTTTCTGGGCACTGCGTGGTTTGAAGGAGCAAGGCTATGATCCATTTAAAGAAGATCTGAACCATCTGGTAGGATACAAAGGAAATCACCTCTACATCACCAAGAAGGTTCTTTGATTAAAAAAAACAACAACAAGACAAAAATAAGGTCAAGTTAGAGAATGAAAAATATCTACATTTCAGAACAACTCCATTTTATCAAAAAAGTTCCATGTGATTTTTGTTTTACTTGTATTTTCTTAATATACCCACCACCTCAGGAAAAGCTTTCTAGAATGTGTAATTAAATTGCATTTCAACCACAAAATACATAATCAATAGAGACACTGTGGTTAATCTGCTTTCCGTATTTATCTGGGATGTTTACTGTGTGGTTTGTCATTGCAGTTTATGCAGGGTAGGGTCAGTAGGATTTGCTGTAGTGTTTCAGTTCAAATGGAGGTCCTACTTCAGATATCATAATGCACATTTAAACCATTGCTTGTTACAGAATGTATCATGTTTGTTGATTTTCCTTTTTTTATTTTAAGAGAACTGGCAGTATATTGTAACAATCTGTATCTACAGGCCAGGTCAGTATGCTATATATTTCCCAGATTTCTGAGTGAAACCCTAACCTAAGAGGAGTGAGACAAAACATCTAAGATCTGTATCCCAACATCAACAGGCCAGGTCATTCTGAATGTTTCACTTTGCCTGAGATGCAGTGTCTTTGTACGTAAGAGGAAGGGAGTGCTCTAGGGCAGCAGTTCTCTTAAGTGTGGGGCTTCTCAAGATCCTTTTAAGGTATTCAAGGCCAAAGACACCTGTTTTTATAATCCTAAAATATCATGTAATATCACACTCTCATTCCTTCATCATCATACACAGTCTAGAATCTGCCTGATAAATGACATATCAGACAGACTATAAAAGCATGTGTGAACCCAGCTTTCTTCTGTTAAGTCAGACATTGAAGATATTTGCAAAAATTATGACACTTTCCTAACTAATAAATATTTTTAGAAAAATAGTTCTTTTTCAAAAAGTTAAAACATGCATTAGATTTTTATTTATAAATGGTTAATGAGACTTTAAACCTACTTTCAATTTTTTGTTTTTGTTTTAAGATAGCATTGCACTATATAGACCAAGCCAACATCAAACATGTAATCTCCTGGCTCAGCTGCCTGATAATATTTTCAGGCATAATTTATTTTTTGTTTCTGGTGTTGAGGGAGTGCTGAGAATCAAACTCAGGGACACCCTACCACTGAGCTAATCCCCCCACCTTTTTTATTTTGTATCTTGTGGCAAAGTGTTGCTAAGTACTCCAGATTGTACTTGAACTTGTGATTCTCTTGCCTCAGCCTCCTGAATAGCTGATAGTACAGGTGTGTACCACCATGCCTGGCCAGTTTTAATCTCTAATACAGATATCACTAGGTAAAACCATACAACAACAAAATCTCTTTGTAATTTTTAAGAGTATAAGGCAACTGTCTCAGTTACTTTTCTTGTCGTTGAGACAAAATACCTGACACCCACAAGTTAAAGGAAAAAGGGTTTATTTTGGCCTCCAGTTTGTAGAGGTTTCAGTCCACACTCAGTTAACTCAAGGCAGAGCAGCATGGCAGAGGAGAAACAGTTCATGGCAGCACAGGCAGAAAGCAGCCAAACAGGAAGCAGCAAGACTGCCTTTGCCTTTTTGCCCAACGAGGGTGATGCCATCTACACCGAAGGTGGGGCTTCAGTTTTCAGTAAATCTATTCAACCAAGCCCAGAACAATGCTAAATGCAATCAGTGGACTGCTTAGTACCACACTTCCTTAATCCCAGGATCATACACCATGATCCAGCCACCTCCCAAAGCGCCACCAATGCATTAAGCTTTGGGGGACATCTAGATACAAGCCATAACAGGAACCAAGACCAAAACATTTCAGACTTGCTAGACTGGACTATAAACTCACATCTATCTTTTCCTTTCAATCCTGCTTCTACGAATTTCTATATAATTTAGTTCTTTCAAAAGACTCTGATATTATTGTAGTGCTTGTTATAAAGGAATCTTTTTTTCAATAAGTATGATTTTTCATTTCTTTTTAAAAATTAT